CCTTAGTGAACAAATCTGCTGGATTATCACTTTGATGTATTCTTTCTTTAATGGAACTATGTAAGCGACATTATCTTCATATGATTTTGTTGGAACTTCTTTGCTTGATAGATAAACTGCATGTCTCTCGGATATGATGGATCATTGATCTTAGCAAAACACGTTCTTGACTTGCCTCGTGAATTGATATTTCGCATGATTTGAAGATGTTGTAGTCGTGGTTTGCTTCATAGGACTCCAAGATATAGTTGTATCTCCAAATGTAAATATATAATCGGTTGTGATCGAGCTTTGTGTAAATTAGATAAATAACTCGCATCCGCATAGCCAATTAATCTTATATTTGATTTATTGGAATAATATAAGCCCATATCAATTATTCCTCGAATATAACGTAGTATATGTTTAACTTTATTTCAATGTCTCTATATTGAAACAGAACTATGACTTGTTAATAAATTTATAGAAAAGACTATATCGAGCTCGGATATTATTAGTAAGATACATCAATGCACCAGTGGCACTAAAATATGGTACTTCGGGACCAAGTAGTTCTTCGTTATCTTTTCGATGTCAAAAAGGGTCCTTTTGGATATCAAGTGAATGAACTACCATTGGGCTAGTCAATGAATGATATTTATATAGAATCATTGTAGAACATTTTTCGATATAAATTGACTAATGAATGAAAATCTCATTTTCTCGAGTGCTCGAACTGCGAGTCGAGATAACATTTTGTTTTCTCAAGATATTCACCTCAAATTCTTTTTTTAGGTAACTTATAACACTTGGAATCTCTTCGGAAGTTCCAATAATATTTAGGTTATCAACATATAAAACAAACTCATTTTCAAATAAAAACATATAAACAAATAGGCTTATTTTTTATATAACTTTCTTTCAACAAATAATCATTGAAGTGATTATATCATTTGCACACGGGTTATTAATAAAAAGAAGATATAAAAATAAAATATAAAAAGTATAAATTGAATTTCTAAAAACCAAAATAATAAAACAAATACTAAAATAATCCTAATAGAGATCTCTATAATTTAATTGAATTCTTATCTCGAGAATATGTATCACATGCTTACGGCATGTCAAGTCATTCTAGGACTTTCATACTTATTTCATTTCAAATGAATAAATAAACCGTGATCACATTCATTAAATGCATGCATATGAATGTTTTTCATATATTTTTTCATGCTAATGAGATAACAATAGACAATTGCATCCACTATAGTGAGAATATCTTTCCTCATAGTCAATGTCAATTCTTTACGAAAACTTTTGTGTTAAAAGTTTTGCTTTATATCTTATAATCTCATCTTTCTTATTTCTTTTTCTCATAAATACATATTTGTATCCCACTAGCTTAACATCTTCGGGTGTTTTAGCTATGGGTTTAAAAAAACTACTCTTTTATAAGGGAACATAATTCCGCCTAGATTGCTCTTTTCATTTAGGCCAATCATCTTTATGTCGATATTCTTCAATAATTTAGGCTCGGGATCCTTATTTTCATCCATAATATCAATTACAATATTATATGCAAAAGTCTTATCAATAGATATTTCTTTTCGGTCCTATTTTCTCCCTACATTGATATAATTTATCAAAATCTCTTGATTTTTCTCAAGTATTTGGACTTCTTCCGAAGCTTCGTGATCGAAATATATTGGACCATTTTGTAAATATTTTCATCTTGCCTTTTTCTTTTAGGAATTTTTATCTTTAGAACCGATCGGTCTTCCATGCTTCGTGCGTGTTTTAAATTCGTTAGCTATAATATTAATAAATTATCCTTCGGGACATTAATTATAATAGGAGCATTCTCAGCAGGGGACATGCATTTTAGTTACTCATTTAAGATCCGAGAATGCATTTGGCAGTTGGTTTCAATATTTTGTACATGAATTATCTTTTGAACTTCTAGTTCACATTATCTTCTACAAGAATCAAGGTGATATAAGATAGAGTACTCCATGTAATCTTTTTTTTCAACATTTTCCATTGCTTATTTTGCTTATTCTCTCCCCCTAATGTTGAAAAAACTACATCAAAATGACAATCGATAAATCGAGCTACAAAAATTTTCTCTTGTTCATGAATCAAGAGATTGAATTATCGAAGAGGATTAATATATTCTCAATCTCTTTTAAGTGCTCATTTTATTTTATTATAGAGGAGCACTAAGGATATACACCAATGCTAAAAATTCTTAAACAAGAAATAATTGGCTCATGACCATAAATCAATTAAAGAGGAGAGAATTTCTAATAACTCATGAGTCATATGCGAATAAGTGTTGCTGCATGTAAGATTGCATGTCCTCAAACATAAACAAAGAGTTTTATTTTTAAATAACGGTTTAGCTATCAATTCGAGCCTTTTGATAAATGATTTTGCTAAACCTTTTTGAGTATGAACATGAGCAATAACATGTTCAACCTTTATTTTAATAGCCAATCAATAATAATTTAATGCTTGAGAAATAAATTCATCGAGCATTATCAAGGTGACTTGTTTTAATGGCATAATTTAAAAATTATGCTCGAAATCAAATTATTTGCTAGCAATCTCGAAAACGTCGAGTTTCGAGTAGATAATAAGTATATATATGACCATCTTGTGGATGCATTTATCAAAATCATAAAATATTTAAATGGTTCACATGGTGGATGAATTGATCCACATATATCACCTTGAATACATTCTAAAATACCTGGAGATTCAATCTCAATTTTACTTGATGATGGCTTAATCATCAATTTTCCTTGGCAACATGCAACACATGAAAGTTCATTAAATTGAAGAATCTTCCGCTCTTCAATAGATATCCATATGAATTTTTAATAATTTTTCGCATCATGAAAGACTCATGATAGCACAACCGGTCATGTCACATAATAAAAGTATTTGAATTAGTAAACTTCGGTTTACTACAATATTTGTTTCAATCATTTTAATGTTTGCAATAAATACTAGAAGAGAAAACGGATAAATTTTTTGATAGATATTTTCTACCCGATATAATGATTATAACATATAAGTATTCACATTTGCTATCTTGATATGATATCAAATCGGATGAGTATCTTTGAAACTTAACAAATTTCTATAAGACTTTGAAAAGAATAGTACATCATTCATAATAAATTTATCCTTTCAGTATAATAACATATTTGCTTTTCTAGAGCCTTTAAATTAGTCACTTCAAGTAATAATATATCGACTCTTCTAGAGCCTTTAAACATTTTCTCTTCAAGTAATAATTTATTCACTCTTCTAGAGTTTCAAAAATTTATCTCTTCAAGTCATGATATAATCATTCTTTTAGAGCCTTCAAAATCTATCTCTTTAGATAATAATATAGTCGCTCTTCTAGAGCTTTCTATTATATTGATATTATCATATATAATATTAACATAAAATAGATAATCAAATAGATCAATAGAAAATAAATAAATCAATATATTCCTCATAAACACAAACAAATAAATAAATAGTAAAATAAATTTGTAACCATCAATATACAACATAAATTATAAGAAATATAAAATATTTTATTTATAAATAGAAAAACTAACAAATAATTAATTTCAATTACTATTACTTTGATATATAAAATTAGCCTCTATATATATATATTTTTTTTTCAATGAGCTTTGACAAGGCTTGATGAGGTGCTTTGGTGTACGATAGGTACACGACTAATGTCTATTCATACCATATTTATAACATTCATCTTCGGAATGTTGACTTTATCTATTTTCATTCTTTTCTTTTTCTTTTTCATAGTTATCCACTTCGGTGGTAAGATGTAATATTATAGTCATCATAATTATAATGATAATTATTTTGACAACATCCATGGCTATGACTACATCTTCATCCATGTCTAAAATTATTATAAATTGTCACGTTCACTTCGTGGAATAGAATAGATCCAATTGGGTGAGATTTATTCTTTTTCATCAATAGTTTTTCATTTTATTTAGCCATGAGCAAATATGAAATCGATTCATAATATTTCTTAAACTCTTTTTCTTGATATGCTATCGTATAAGCATATTCGAGGCATGAAAAGTAGATGATCTTGATATGCTACTTGCAGGAGCATATTTGAGGCATGAAAAGTAGATGATATTAACTTAACATCAAGCACTCATGATCAATAATTCTTGCCCAAAATGTCAAGGGCCACAAAATCAAGTTTTGTGATGGTTGATAAGATATCATTAAAATTGTATAATGCAAAGTATAATAATAATGTTAGGAAATAAAGATAAAATATAATAATAAAATTTAAATAAAAATAAATATAATAATAAAATTTGAACTTTTCAAATAATATATATTAAATTATTACATTCTATATATTAAATTATTAAAAATTTTCAAATATATATTCTATGTATCATTAAATTTAAAATACATAATAAATTAGATACATAACTCTTAATGATCTAAATAATAATTTAGATCCAATCGGTAGAGCACTTCGTAAAAGAAATCCAATGGTTGAAGCAATTGATTAAGTGTTTTGGTAGATACATATCTCATGATCTATTATTTCAATTGGTTAGAACTTCGTCTCGATAACGTATTATAAAATAAATAGAAATAATAGGAGAATTGAAGAAAAGGATGACAAGAAAATGAAATCACTATAATATGAATATAAGTGATAAGAACTTCAAAGTTTCTCTTATTCTCTCAGGAAACTTGTACATCAACTAATGAACAATCAAGCTCTATTTATAGGCTTTAAAATTGAGAAGAGAATTGGAAGGGACTATGAATAATCAATTGCATCACCCTTTCAATTTCTCATATTGAATGATGAATTGAATCATATTAAGAATCATGAGTAGTGAGAATATGAAAAGTGGATGAACATGATGATGAACATTCATTATTTCATAACATATTTAAGTTATTAGATTTGTAATAATTTTGAGTTTTAAGAGCTTTTCTTTTACGCAATTAAAATGTCAAAATTTGCAGTGATTTTGTCTGCCAAACGCAGTTATGCTAATAGCATTCATGTAAACAGCAATCCCTCACAAGCCGATAGCGTCAAACGAAAAACTCTGATCTTTAACGTAATTACCCACTTTAATTAATTAAAATATAATCAGAGGTCAAAAAGGTTGGCTTGACTGATTCGTCTTTACAGCTTACCTGTCCTCTGCGGGTCCAACAAGGCCCAGTTCTCCATAATTCTTTCTCCAATCCTTTCACGCCACGTCATATATCAACTATAATTTTGCGAAACTATATATTAACCCCAACAGATTCAGGCTTCGGCTTCTATAATATTAATTATTCTGTTTCAAAATCTTAAAATAAACTATAATACTCCTTGGAACTAGCAGAGATAACAAGTTCAGCCAACCCAACTTATTCTATATTCGAGTCCTGGATTGCTTTTAGATTAGGTGTGATTTATAGTATTATTGATTATACTATAGAGATTAAAATGTAATATTTATAAATACATAACGATTAAGATGTAGTTTACCATATATTTCCTTCTTTTAGAGTGGAATCACCAAAACACCATCATAAAGAAGTGTGGAATGGCAAAAATATCCTTACAAACCCATCGAACACGAAAACAGGGAATCAGAACCCAATCCGCAATCCATATCCACCTCTATATAAGGCCCCTCCCTCTCTTATAACCTCCACCAGTTCTCTCTTTCTGGTTGCTATTCTTCTAAACACAACTACCTCTCTAGAATCATTTCTGTCTTTCTGTCTCTTTCTTCTTTATCAGGTACATTCAAAGCTCTCCAAGAACTGGCTAACTCACAGGAAATTCTGGCAGAAATCACCGAACCAAATCCACCAACATCGTCGAGAAAGAACCAAGAAGTGGTTCTTGCTTTCTATGAAGCCTTAAAGTCACGTGACGTGGACACGATACTCAAGATCCTAGCCCACGATCTTGAAAGGTGGTTCCATGGCCCGCCGTCTCACCAGTATATGATGCGCCTTCTTACTGGTGAACAAAAAGACAACGACGTGCCGTTTGAGTTCTCGCCTATCTCCATCACCTCTTTTGGAAACATTGTGATTGTAGAAGGGTGCGATACAAGTGGTTCCATTTCTTGGATACACGCTTGGACTGTTACGGATGGGTTGATCACCCAGGTCAGAGAGTACTTCAATACTTCTCTTACTGTTACTCGCTTTGGAAATAAATCACAGCCGTCTGATTTTAAGTCAAAGTCAAAGTCATCATCAACGGCTGAGATTACTCCTGTGCATTGCCCATCCGTTTGGGAGAGCAGCCTCTCCAATCGGGTCGGTAAGTCCGTGCCGGGTTTGGTTCTGGCTATTTGAGTGGACTCTAATCAGGTGCATCCGGGTTTGGAATAAATAATAGGGTGCGCACTTGTGTGTTAGAGATGTGAGTCACTTGTGTCTGGTTTGGTTTGTACTATTTGGTTTGGTTTTTTATTGTTTAATTTTGTGTGTGAAAGTAGTAGTAGGCGGTCAAGATGGGGAGGAGACCTGTTTGGTTGACGCTACATGTCCCTGTAATTTGGTGTTTTTATTGTGCAATAAATATGTGGTACTGTGATTTTCTTATTATGATCTTCAGTCTTGTTCTAATCTTCATTTGGCGAGGCATCGCTTTTTACCCTTCCGTTCGTAGCTTGGTTAAAAAGTGGGAATAGTGTTAAATTGTGTTAACACTGAGTATTGATTTAAAAGCACATTTCAGTCCTCTGCTGTGGTGGGTGCTGCTTGATAAATTTTATAATTCTCAATAAAATATTCAGTGAGTTATTAAAATTTTTTATAATATTTAAGGAATAATTAATTTAAATTTTTTCATAGAAAGAGATGGGTAAAAAAAAAAAAAAAGAGAAATAAAATTAAAAAAAATTGAGTCAAGTAAAATCTAACCTTTTTATCTTTTTATGAATTCTGATGTAATTTTTGTTTTATGTTTTTATTTTTTTCTTTAAAATTTGATTCATAGAATTTGAAAAGAGATAAACAAATAAAAAAATTACACTAAAAATGATAACAAAATTTTCATATTGACTTAGTTTTTTTTAATTTTTTTTATATCAATCTTTTTATGAATATATATATCGATGCTATCCCTTCAACATCAATATATTATAAGAATGATTAATTTAAAAAATATATATCATAAGAAACTTGATTGAAAAAAAAACAAAACATGAAAATGTTATATTTTAACCGAGAACGAGGTAAAATACAGACATTTTCCGTGAGATAAGGATAAATCGACTGATAGATGACAAGGCGGTCAATGGCACCTTACGTGTTGTTTGGAGTTTGGAGAATGCTTGACCAAATCTTAAATCAACATAGGACGATCATTCTTATAATATATTGATGTTGAAGGGATGGCATCGAATTATATATATATATTAACAGCAAAATTATCCCAACCAGTTTTGGTTCATTGAGGCTGAATTGTTTAGAATGCTATCCATTCAAAAAAAAAAAAAAATTGTTTGGAGTGGATACATTCAAAAAAATTATTTTCTTACTGCACATCTAGGAATGTGGAGAAATTAATTCTTGCAAATTAAGGATGACAAAATTATTACCATAGCATAATATACAGGAAGGAACAAGTGAAATTAGATTGAACTACACAGAACATTAAATTAGACTAAATGAAATAGAATATCACATGACTGAAAAATAGATGAGATTAAACTTAACAAATACATGCTTTCGTCATGTTTTTGATACAACTAAAGTAGGCATCAACTAGCAGGTTGTCTTTGTTAAAATTAAATCAAGTTGACATTAATTTTGAATTCTTATACTTTAAGGATTTGATATTTTAGTATAAGATTGAATGGCCAAGTTTTATTTTGTAAAGGACGGAAAAGATTATTGATTTTTTAGGTGTCAATGAATTCTTAAACTTTAAAAGATTATAATGATACAGGTGGCAATGAATCAAATAAACTCAACATAAAATCCTTTTTGATGAAATAAGGATGGCGATGATAAAAACTATCCCAATCATTTTTCGATCGATTTCTTAATATGTGCTTGCAAAAACATGAACACTTGGGGGCAATACTCTACGAGGATGAAAGAACGAACAATTGCATGCCTAACTATAAGAGCAAATGCCATTCGGACAACATGAATGATAGCTAGATCGGATATTTAAAAAATGACATAATCGGAAGACATGTGATTAAATAGACAAAAATCAGCAAGAACGACTAGCCTAATATCTCAAATTTATTCAAATGATAATGACTTGCAAATGAGGAGAAGGGGAGAAGTTTATGTTTTGACGAGTGAAAATTTATGTTTCTTCGATGACAATCACATATGTCACTTACACTCTTGTGTATTGCCAAGGAAATGTCACTTTTTTTACCTCGAAAATGGTTATCCACATTAACCGGTTATCAAGGAAAGGTCACCTTTCCGATCTCGGGGATGATTACTTGTATTAACCTATGCTTTAAGAAAGGTTCTCCACAATTGACTAGTAATTTAAGGACATTCGGTCATCATTTGACCTTGTCGATTGATTTATTTATTTATCATTCTTTTGTGATTTTATTTACAAGCTTACAACGCAAAGTTAAAAAAAAAGTCGGCTTTTTTAATGGCTTTGCATCGTAAGCATTATAAAGAGGGAACAACTATTAGCACCCAAAAATTTTCCAAAAAAATACAAAAAAACTATAAATAAATAAGGCATGCAATTGAAAAACAAAAGAGAGAAAATGGCCAAAATAAATCAGATTTATGATATGAGGGACCAAACTAAACTTTATCTAAAAACTCCTAAAATATTAGTGTAAATACTCCTATTTTCTTCCTCCCCCAACCACTTTCTCTTTCTAGAGTGGCGACCACCCACGCTCTATCTCCTTAAAAGTTTCAGCTAGCCATCCTCCACGTCTAGTCAACCACTTTCGACTGGTTCAGCTCGCTCCTTCGGTTGGTCCAAGCAACATCTCCACATCCGGTTGCCTTAAAGCAACCGTTGTAAACTAGATCTCTCTCTTCCAAAACGTTGATCGAGCACACCAACCGGACCAACAACCCCTCTTTCGTTGATCTAACCAATCCGGACCTCGATCAATAACCTCTCATTTAGCCCAAACTAACGACTCTTTCCCCGAACTTGATTCGATCGGTATAACTCCGATTAGCAACCTTTGCTCTAACCAATTTCCATCCGAGTCCAACTACTAACCAAGTTGACCAACCCCAACGATCGCTCGCTCGGTTTCAATTATTCGATTTGACCGCAATAGCCACTTGAAATAGCCATTGGTTTAGCCCTAAATCTTAGCTATCAAATCCATCACGAGTTGTCGATCTTCGTGCCAATACTAGCCATCCATCCAGCAGATTCGAATCAACAAGCAACATCAAGCCGTTCCAACCCCTCGACAAACCTTTGATCTAGATCCAATAATGGGCAACCATCTTTTCTCTCGGGTTGATTGAATATCAATTTTCATCGGGGTTGAAAATATCGAAACCGACCCTAAATTCGTCGAAAAAATTCATTTTACCCTTTTTATAGTAGTTTATTTTTTCCCTTTATATTTTATTTTATTTTATTTTAATGTGTATTAAATTTAAATCGTGCTCATGTGTCTATAATTAATTAAATAGTCATTGTTGTGTAAATTAATTAAAATTGTTAGTTATGTATGATTTGTTTAAATATTTGTTGTGCATATGGTTTAATTAAACTCTTGTTGTGTTGTTATTGGTTTGACTGATCTTCATGATTGCCGACGTGGTTGTGTGGTTTGTTGTTACTTGTGCGATTTTAAAATGCGTTTGGTCAAATCTCGTTTTTGGACCACTTTTGGTTGATTGTGACCATTAATTGAGTTGTGCCAATTTACCCTAAAAAATACTTGATTATTGCTTTGCGTCGATTCAAACCATGTTTTTGGATCATTTTTCATGATGGTAACGTTAAATCACTCAAATGTTAATTTTATCTAAAAAAATACAATTTCAAATCATGCCAATTCGAACCTCATTGTTTGGGTTATTTTTTTCAAAAAATGATTAATTTTATTGATCTTGTTGACAATTGTCATGAAATATGCGATTCTTGAGTCGCATTGGTTCGAGCCTCGTTTTGTATTGTTTTTGTCCATTGCAACGACTAATCGATCTTGTGTTGATTTTTGCCTAAAGAATGTGATTCTTGAGTTATTTTGGTTCAAATCTCGTTTTTAGACCGTTGCAATTTGTAACGATTAATTTGATATTATGTCAATTTTATGCATGATGAGTTGTGTTGACTCGTCTTGTTTTTCTCAATTTTAACGATTTTGTCCGAAAATCACAACTTTTAAAGTCATGTTGGTCCTTAATCTTGTTTTTGTATTGTTTTTGCCAACTTCAATGATTTTTGTCAATTTTGTCATTTTTACTTTTTTTTTTTTTTTTATATCCTTTGCTAGTTTTTTCTTCTTTTTTTTTATCGTATTTATCTATATTTACCTATTTATCCATTTGCCTATTTGTCGATTTTATTGATTTTTTCAATTGTGCCTAATTACTTATTTGTTGATTTGTCGATTTTGTCTATTTTGCCTAATTATCGATTTTGCGGATTTGTCTATTTTGCCTATTTTGTTGTTATTTGCCTAATAGCCTATTTTGTTCATTTTACATATTTGTCTATTTTGTCGATTTATCTATTTTATCTGTTTGCCTATTTGTATGTTTTTAAAGCCTCATTTTTGTGTACGTCATTTAAGTCGTATTAGCCACATATCTTTGCATTCATCATGTCTTTTCATTTTCTTAGCTATTCATAATAAAGTAAAGACAAGGTTCTTAACTAGCCAAATCCAAATCACTCAACTACAAGGCAAATGTTTGAAAAATAGGTATAGACTTTCATCATTAAAAAAATCAGAAATCAAGTCGATGTTGTATGTAATGCTGCTTGTCTTAAGTAGGACGAGGTAAGACAATTTTTAATCCTCCATACACATAATAAACCTCCTTATTTAGAATTCTAGAAAGACCAGTTATAGGGTTTTCTAATAACCATAATACTAAGTAATGACTTCAGTTATTTTTTTTACATTACCTCAATATCGCCCTATGATAATGCATGAGAAGAAGAGGAGAAGGAGAAAGAAAAAATGGAGTGGCAACAACTATCCTATTTTTTATATGCTGCCTTTTTTTTTTAATTTCTAACTTAAATATTATTTTAAAACGGGTTATTACAGGAGAACAATATTACATCATCAACAAACAAAAGATGAGAGAAAACTATATTGCTACGGGAGACTAAGATCGGCTTTCACATAGAAGATGCGACTTTACTCTCA